ATCGCTTAAGCTTCAAACCCTTCGAGGCAACTTGGTGTGTAGGCAACGCATGGTGGTGACTTTAGAGGCTTTGCTTGCACACACCTCATTTCAAGCGTCTGCCCTCCCCAGTCATCGCTTAAGCTTCAAACCCTTCGAGGCAACTTGGTGTGTAGGCAACGCATGGTGGTGACTTTAGAGGCTTTGCTTGCACACACCTCATTTCAAGCGTCTGCCCTCCCCAGTCATCGCTTAAGCTTCCGTCTTTGCCCTTCCTCTTGCCCCCGCCTGCCCGAAACCGTCTTCGGGGAAGGCGCGTGTCTGCGAAACGTGTCCTCAAGAAACCCACCAAGCCAGAGGGTTTGCTGGCACCCGTGTTGCAGAAGCAGCTACTAAGGTAGCGCTGGCTAGCTGGCTCTAGGAGGAGACAGAAACAAATCCAAAAGGTGACTTGCCGCCACCTCTTCTCATAACAGGGGCAGCTAGCTGGTCATCTCGCTGGCTGCGAGTGGCGTCCTTTTTCTTTAGGCCTACGGCGCTCGCCTGTCTGCTCGCTCTAGAGAGCTGTCTGTGGGAAGATGTGAATTAATGGGGGAAGCCTGCAAGCTGCTAGCACGCCGCTAGAGGCAAACGTCTATCGGCGCTCACCTGCAGTGGCGCTAGGCGCACCCGCGCAACATACGCCACGACCAGCTTGACACCCCTAGCGAATTGGATGCGTGGCTAGCTGGACGTCCAGAGTACGCCTCCTCTAGAAGGCAATCTATGCGTAGCTAGAAAAACCCCTACTCTGAAAAGATCAACAACTAGACAGATAGGCGCATGGCCTGGAAAAGAATGCGAACCGGCGTCACCACCTTGAACGCTACCCCAAGGCAGCATTCACTTGTGCAGCTGCTGCTTGCCGCAGGAGGTTGGTGGCAGCAACGGCAGTTTTAAAAGGCAAGAAACTCTCTTCGGCCTCCCGCAAGGCAGCTGCTGAGATCCTCAAACATCCAAAACATGCGCCCTTTAGATGAGCAGCAGTCAATCTACAATGGGCTCTCTGGATATGCCCCCCTTCCTCTTGTGCTGCTCCATCAGCTGTTAGTGGTGTTGCTCCATCAGCTGTTAGTGGAGTTGCTGCATCAGCTGTTAGTGGTGTGGCTGCATCAGCTGTTGTTGCTGCAGTGCCTCGGTGTCTCGTCACTACGTCTCTGCGCCTGATCGCTCGTTCACTTGCGCTTCTCTGGTTGACGCACAAAAGCCCAGCTGACAGCCACCTTCTGGCCTAGCAGTTCCTGCCCGTTCATCCCTACAGCAGCACACATACATACACACATCCGCTACAAAATCATAATACACGCATATACATATAGAGTACATTGAGGGACGCCTATACTGCGGGTGCTGGCGCGAAGCTGCCAAACAATTTCTGTTGGCGCGGGGGGTCCATACAAACCAAACTTTTTTAAAAATAGAATAAGGGTTTGAGGTTTGTTGTGCAGACTGCACTGTCGCATCTTACCATCGATGGCAGCCTTCGCCTCGTCATACGTCTCGTATTCCACAAAGGCATAGCCCTTCACGAACCCTGAGCGTCTGTCAAGGTTCATGTGCAAGTTCCTTATGGCTCCTGAAGAAATAGACCATGCAGCGGAAAGGAAGCAGCGCGCAGCGATATCTAGAAAGCCAAAAAGCTCTCTTCCGCAGACGCGTTGGCTCCAGAAGAGGCTGACACTACCACCCCCCGAGCGAGGAAGGGGAGGGGCCTGTAGCTCCTCGAGGCAGCCGCAAGAAGCACCCCCTAAACAACACGCCATGGTGCGCTGCTGCACTTTTTTCTGCCCTGACTGCCTTTATAGAATCGCAGCAGTTGCAGAGCTTCCAGGTTGGCAGACCAAAAAAGTGTCTTAGCGTCCGTCTGCTTCTTACGGCATACAGAATTCCTACACCCCTATGAATTTGCCTGCTACGGATAATACGGAAAGAGCCTTTCTACACTTAAGCACTCTGTATATGTGTATATGTGTATGTGTGTATGTGTGTATGTGTATATGTGTGTATGTGAATATGTGTGTATGTGTGTATGTGTGGATATGTGTATATGTGTGTATGTGTATATGTTTATATGTGTATGTGTATATGCGTATATGTGTATGTGTGTATGTGTATATGTGTATGTGTACATGTGTATGTGTGTATGTGTACGTGTGTATGTGTATATGTGTGTATGTGTATGTGTAAATGTGTAAATGTGTATGTGTATATGTGTGTATGTGTGTATGTGTAAATGTGCATGTGCATGTGTATATGTGTGTATATGTGTGTATGTGTATGTGTGCATGTGTATATGCGTATATGTGTGTAAATGTGTATGTGTATATGTGTATGTGTATATGCGTATATGTGTGGATATGTGTGTGTGCATACATACCGAAGGCATCGAAAGCTTCGTGTAGGTCTTCTTCCTGGGCTTCTTCATGGATGTTGGTAGCCACAACAACCCACCCCTCGACAGCTGCAGACACCGGCAGAGAGCAGCCGCAGAGAGGCGCACGTGTGCCGCACAAACACATGGAAGGCACTTCTGCCGGATCCGCAACTTTGGCAGCTAGATGAGAGAAAGCGTCCTCTAGGGAATCAACAAGCGAACGAACATCTGGCTGGGGCGGGGCCTTTCCCCTTATCCCTCCGCTTGCTCTCGCCGGTGTCGTCCAGTCGCTCAAAGATTCCAGACTTCCCCGCATACCGTTCGTCTCGACCAGTGGCATCCTCCCGCATTCCACGGCCCTGCAGCGCATGCAGGCAATTGCAGCGGCGGCAGACGGCGGAGGGGTGCAGAATTCGCGAGAAACGTCGCCGCCTCTGCGCCCTAGACGCCCTCTCCGAGACAACTGATCGCCCCTCCACATAGCAGAGGGAGCTTCCAACGAGCAGCCGCGGGGGGAAGAAAGGAAAGGGAAATCACAGCAGCGCCTCCTGACCTTTTGGCGCAATCCCGTGGAAACGGAGGGAGAGCGGCGCTCCTCTGAATCGGCCATCTCGGTCGGATCTGCAGTGTCTGTACAGATGCAGTGGTGCACTTCCTAGGAGTGAGTCTCCCCCCGCCTTGACAGAGGCGGGAAGCGTAAAAGCTGTAGCCACGCTGCTCTGCGGCCTCCAATGTCTTCTCTGCCCTTTTTGCCTCCCGTTTTGCAGCGGCTGGGCTGCCAGGAAGTCTCCCAACAAAGCGCCTCCGCTGCCTGGCGTCGATAAGAGTCTTCGCTCGAGAGGGTCTGACGGGGTCTCAAGCTTCAGAGAGCTTCAGCCCTCTTCCTCCAGAAACACGAGCAGAAAATTAGAAATTGAGTCTGTTTCGTTTTGCCGTAAATGGGGGCCCTATTGGGGGCTGCGCACCGCCAACTGCGGCTGCCTGCATGCAATTCACAGGCCCCCCCTCTCCCCTGAAAACAGCCGCTTGCCGGCTCCTCCTCCAACCGAGTTGAATACCCCTCCCTTTCAAAGACCACATTTAAGCGAGTTTCGGGCATGTCGTATGTTCCGAGGGGAATCGAGGGGGTGCGCACGTCTGCTACTTTCTCTAAAACAGGCTTTTTGGCACTGCTTGCTTCGTTTGCCGCCCTCATGTGGGTAGCTCGACCAGCAAGCTCGTGAACCAGCACTCAGTTTCGGCTGTAACCCACAGACTTCCCCCCACTAGTGCATAGACATCCTGCCTTAGGCGGCTCACGCAGAGGAAACCTCCAGCGGCCCTCCTTCGCCACTCTTCGAGGGTAAGTAGTGCAGGGAGAAGCCACAGGGTCTGCATAGCATGACAACCCTCTCGTAGTCTTTGTGCTTCCACATACGGAAGCGGCAGGCGACATGCATCGAGCCTCGCCAAAGACTTACACGGGCAGGCGATGGATGAATGCTCGCGACGTACTCCGCATTCTTGCGTCGCTCAGCGTCCACCCTACAGGCAGTTCCTCAGAGGCAAACGCCCCGCCCGTCACAAGACACATTCGTTTACACTGTACACGACGCGCAAAATGTTCTTAGCGGCTTCTTGCTCCGTGCATCACCTTCTGTCGAGGCTTCAGTGTACCGTACACCCAAGTACATTGACACGGGGGCAGCAAGGGAACCCCCACTAGCCAGACACGCGAGTCCAACAACTATCGCACCTAAGCTCTGTGTGGCTTAGGCAGTTTTATTTCTTAGCGCTGGTAGCCTGTGCTTCGAGATATCTTTACCGCCACTAGGTATTGCCCTATTTTTACGACACCGAACAAAGATAGCAGTCAAGCGTTCACGTGCGCGGCCAGTCCGTCACTGTTCGTATCTACAGCCACCCACTCCCCGGCAATCCTCGTACTCCACAACCGCTCGTACGAGCACCAAAGAAACACACGCATGCAGATTCTATACGCACTCTGCGCCCAACATCAAGGGATCCACCTCAACAAGCACGCGTAACAGCTCTAAACACCGGCCTCTTCCGGTCGGTACAGAAGCAACACAAATACGCTCGAGACTTCCCGCTTGCGCCAGAAGGTCCGCCCACTTCTGCCAGCTCTCACCAGCGCTTCGCAGGATTTGAGCTCTGCGCAACGCCGATAGACGCAAAGAAGCAAGGTAAATGCCCTCCTTTCTCAAAAGTATGCCAACACTGCTAAGCACCGCGCAACACGCACACCCCTCTTCACAAACTCCCCCACGCGTCCAGCCACCCCCACCTCCACGTATTCCAAATCAAAAGCACCGGCAGACAATCCGTCAATAGCTGGCTACTCTGCTCGGAGACGACTTTTTCGAGCACATCCATAAGCAAAACACGAAGTCCTCTACAACCATTCCCACATTACCCCCCGCCCTTCCCCTCCCTCCCCCCGCCACCGTTCCCGCCAAATAGCCACACGATCAGCAATTAACTACCACGCGCCTGCAACGGCAGAGCGCCACCCATCATGTGAACAAAAATCCTAAAGGAAACATATAGCGGGAAAGGCTTCAAAGAGAAGCTTCCCCAGTTCGACCGAAGGTACCGCGAACAGCGCGCGCAGCGCTCCTTTCAGCGATTCAACTCTCGCAACTCGCAGGAAGCAGTGCAAGTCCCCCTCAGCATATCGGCACACGGTAAGCGATAGGCCATCTCCGCAGCAGCGGTAGGCAAAGGCCGTTCATCTTCGGGGTTTTAGAACCTTCTTTCGAAGGAACAATCACACTGAGAGGCCTCTTCCTGCAGAGGAGCCTCCCCACAGCGCGTCATGCGGCGCCTGTCCAGCGGGGAGATGCAGCCGTTGCTGCGCCAACGGGACTGCTGCATGCGGGCTGGAAGACGAGCGCCACCACGGCGTTAAGCAATAAAGGCGAATTTCATATACCGCGGACAAGAAAGAAACAAAATTTATTAATTATAGCACCTGGAAGACGCGCGAAACCGAATTATCAGGGGTAATCACAGCCCTTTTTGGCACATGCCTGCAGCGATGCTGCAGCAGCATCGGGCCTTCAGAGCCATAGAAATACGGCACCCCCTCCCCGCGTTAGTGGCTAGTAGCCATGTTTTAGGCTAAAATAGATCCAGATATCGCATGCGTACAACGCAATACAGATGTTAGGGTCGTACAAACGTCTTACATCGGGTACCCCCGTTTGGACGCTCGTCCGTAAACGTCGTCTGGATTCGGCAGTGCTGCTGCCGCGCTCCCAAAGCCGAGGGACGGCGACCAAGTGTTGCTGTTTTTTGCTGGAGTTTTGGTTATCTTTCTGCGCAATTCTTCTTTGCTCGATTATCCGCGAGGCCTCTCCCCGAGCTTAGCACCGCCTCCAGGTGCCGACTCCGCTGCCACACCGCAAGCGTGCGGCAGCGCGAACCAGCAGCGCACGCGGGAAGTTTGTATGGCATATCAGCGCGACGCAACACCAGTTCTTCCCCCTTCTTCCCTCTGCTTCTCCCTCCTTCGTCTCCCTGATTTGGCAGAAGGGAATGTCGTTGCATGTCTCAACAACACACAGCGCTCCTGAGCGTGCCTGAAGTCGACAAGGGCTCTGGGCGCCTCCTTCGCAACCGGAGCGAATTTCTAGCAACACCTGTAGGCGCAGCTGCAGCGGCAGCAACGGCTTCACTTGCATCTTGGAACGGTGACAAAGCGGCGATCTCTGCCCCAGGAATGCTCGCAGCACTTTCCAGTAAACACAGCGGCAAGCGCAGCAACCGCGGCTTCATAACACTCGGCGAACGCCATGGCGTCGTATCGCGCCTTTGACGAGGAAAAGGCATACCTGTATCGGGAAGCCGATAGCCATACCATCCTGAACGTCAGGAGGGGGTTTGTTCCCGGCATGCATGTACCTGGTATGCCTTCGAGAGGTGGAGCCTGCGCATACTCGCTGCATGCGGGTTGGCACGCCTCTACATGCGCTCCTCAACGAGAAGGGGTCCCCCCGCGATATATGTGCACTTGAGGATTTGTTCTCGCGCGAAACAGCAAGGGCTAGAAGTTCCGTGCCTTTGTGTGTTCACCGATTCGTATGGCTGGCTATTGCTATGTTGCATGCATATGTATACATGTGCACGTATGCACATATTTAAATATATTGATATATGTGTGCGTGTGTCTGAGTGACTGCTTCATTTTGTGCTCAGGGGAGGTGTACGTTAACGATGCTCTGGAGAGTCTGTTGCTAGATGAGCTGAGGGCATATTGCGGCTCGCGGGGGTGTGGAGGATTTCTTCCCGCCGTAAAGCAGGTGGCTAATGTTGCGACGCTTCCAGGGATTGTGGGCAAGAGTATTGGTCTCCCTGATATTCATGCCGGTAAGAAATAAGCCTCCCGAGCGTCAAGAGACGGCACCACCACGTTGTGAGCTTTCGGCGATGGCATGGGCGGGCTCTCATTCGTGCCACACTGGCGTTGGAGTGCGAGCGAAGCACAATTTAAATGCTTCAATTTAAGAGGCCTTCGATCTGCACCGCGCAAAGGTTGGGGAGCGCCTTGCCTCCTTAGCCGTGTGGCATTCGGCATTCCCGCGTGTGCCCTTGCCTGGCACTGTCTGCGTTTATGTACGTGTACGGATGGATAGGTATGGGTGTGTGTATATTATCTCTATATGTATATATATATGCATATGTATATGTCAATGTATGGGTGTGTATATATGTGTGCATATGTATATGTAAATGCATATTTGTAGATGTTAATATGTATGTATATGTATGGGGGTGCGTCTGCGTGGGTGTAGTATATGAATATATATGTACATATTTATATGTATATATATACATACATATATTTGGGTATGTACGTGTGTATATGCATATGCAAATGTAAATGCGTGGATGCATGTGAATAAGTACGTGTATATGCGTATGTATATGTATTTGTATAAATTAATATGTGTACATATATTTGTATCTGCATATTTATGTGTGTATACGTGTGGGTGTGTATGGGTATATATGACATATAGGTGTATGTAATTATCTCGATATGTATCGTGTATATGTGAATGTAAATGTCGATGCATAGATGTAAATGCCAATGTATGGGTGTCTATGTTCAAGAGTATGTGTAGACATAAACATATGTATGCATATGTGTATGTATAGAAGCATGTGTATGTGTAGATGCATTGTGTATATGTAAATGTATGTAAATGTATTTGTGTGTATGTGCATATATGTGTAAATGTATTTATGTGTATGCGTGTTAGCACATGTAGATGTATTTTAGTGTATGTATGTAAGTGTATTTATATGTATACATGTAAACGTGTTTATGTGTATGTATGTGTATGTATCTGTATGTGTATGTATCTGTATGTGTATGTATCGGTATCTGTATCTGTGTGTGAGCTGCGTAAAGGCTATGGCTTCGCAATAGGGAATGTGGCGGCCTTTGCTTGCAAAAATCCCGATGCAGTAGTATCTCCGGGGGGCGTTGGCTTTGATATTAATTGCGGCGTGCGACTTTTGAGGACGAACCTCAGAGAAGAGGACGTGAGGCCGAAGCAGGAGGAGCTTGCCCAAGCGCTCTTCGACTATATTCCAGTAGGAGTTGGCTCACAGGGGATAATACCGTGTAACATGAAAGGCAAGTTGGACCCTGTCCCCTGCACGGAAATGCAAGCGACTTCACCTTTCAGCCGGAAGGGCGGCTCTGTGCTTCTGAAGGCCGCTAGCAGCGCGTTGTTCGGTTTGGCGTGCCAAGAGCCTCTGCGAAACTAGCGTGTCGACTTAAGAGGGTAGAGAGTTGAGGGGGGAGGAAGGGAGGAGGAGGAGGGACTGACCAGGGAAAACGATGGAGAATACGCGCTTGGCAGGCAGGCAGGTGGGTAGGTAGGCAGGCAGGTGGGTAGGTAGGCAGGCAGGTGGGTAGGTAGGCAGGCAGGTGGGTAGGTAGGCAGGCAGGTGGGTAGGTAGGCAGGCAGGTGGGTAGGTAGGTAGGCAGGCAGGCGGGTAGGTGATAGGGTTGCTGTCGTGCTGCCTCGGAGAAGAGGGAAAAGGAGAGAAACAGAGGGGAGAAGGGGGAGAACAGAGCAGGAGAGAAGGGGGGAAGGTCCTGGCATGCGAGCTAGCTGCAGCGGCGAGCGAGGTTTATCCCTCCGCTGGAAGTGCTGCGGGTGGGTTGCTGCAGACGCGCTGCAGGCCTTCTTTTCTTTGTAGGGGCTGCATGCGGGATCGGTGTTTCGGGCCATACTCTATTGGACGTGCTGAAAAGCCGCTCTGCGCGCTTTCTTGCGGGGGAAGAAGGATCTTCTGCTCGCACGCCGCTATGAGATTGCATCTTTGAGGGCAAGGCCTCTGGAGCTGCCTGGCCTTGCGGCTGTTTGCGCAGATTTAGATTCGGCGCTTGAGATTGGAACAGACTGGCTGTTGCGGCAGGGGTATGCTTGGACCGAAGACAAGGAGCACTGCGAGGAGTACGGGAGAATGCTGTCCGCGGGTAAGCAGCAGCCCTCGATGCATGCGTGTGCAAAGGTTCTACAGCCCCTCTGCGCAAGAAGGCCTCTCCTGCTTTCTCCCTCAGGAAGTACGCCGAGCGTTGTGGGCAGAGGATTCCTCGCCCCTTGCCCCACACTCCCAGCTGTGAAAATGCGGCCGCTCTTCCGCGCGCAGATCCCTCCAAAGTTTCGATAAGGGCCAAGAAAAGGGGCTTGCCGCAAATGGGGACGCTAGGCGCTGGCAATCACTACTGCGAAGTGCAGGTGCGTAAGCGTGGAGCTTGCAAGCGTTTCCACCGAAGTAGCCAGTGCATAGGAACCACCGAGAAAGGCGCAGCTGTCAGAGGTCGTCTTCAGGGGCTCTCTTGGTGTGCATCGGCTTGCCGGTTCAAAGACTCAGACTTTCGATCAGTATCTTTTCTTCAGGTTGTTGACGAGGTGTTCGACGCTTTCGGTGCCAAGAAAATGGGCCTGGAAGTGCGTCCTCAGCCCCAGCCTTCAAACGAGGGCCTCAAAGAACATACATACATACATACACCTATATATACATATATCCATTTTCCTGCAAACCGGTGTGTTTGCATGTCTCGCACTGCCCTCGCAAGCGGCATCTCTCGCAAGGGCAGCTCCGACTCCTGCGACAAGCCTCTGCGGTTGCTGCCGCATCAGCATCGGCTCGCTGGAGAACGGCAGGATGTTCGCTTTGGGGCCTAAGGGAGCTTGGCGAGGCAGTCTTCGAACGCGTCGTCCAGCCCCCCCTCCGGCACGTGCTTTGTCATGTGCGTCTCTAGGGGTCTCTCTCCATGTGCAGATAAAAGGCTGGTGCGAAATTTCTTTTGTCTGTACACAATGATATGCGTGCAGAAGGGCCAAGTGTGCGTGATGATTCATTCGGGTAGCCGGGGCTTGGGGCACCAGGTTGCAACCGACGCGCTTGTGGCCATGGAAACTTCCATGCAGAAAAGCCACATCAATCCCATCGATAAGCAACTCGCATGCGCCAGGATACAGTCTCAAGAGGTACAATTGTCAGAAAGTTCTCTGAGAGGCCGCTTGTGCTGTCTTTCAGAGGAAGCACGCCCATTCGGCCCATACACTTAGAAGCGCAGTGCCTTACTGCTTTTCTATAGACCCCTGATTGCTTGTCTCGATTGCCCTATCTTCCTTCTCGCATTACCGTTCGCCTTCACACCCCCGCTTTTTCCCTCTTCTCACTATCTTCCTTTTGTCTCTCCCCCTTTTTTCCCCTTCTTTTCTCTCTTTCTCTGTCTCACACCCTGTCCCTCTCTGTTTCTTTCTCTCTGTCTCTCTCTGTTTCTTTCTCTCTGTCTCTCTCTCTGTTCCTTCCTCTCTGTCTCTTTCTCTCTGTGTCTCTCTCTCTGTCTCTCTCTCTGCCTCTCTCTGTGTCTCTCTCTCTGTCTCTCTCTGTCTGCCTCTCTCTCTGTCTCTCTCTCTGCCTCTCTCTGCCTCTCTCTCTGTCTCTCTCTCTGTCTCTCTCTCTCTCTGTCTCTCACTCTCTCTCTGTCTCTCTCTCTTTCTCTCTCTCTCTGTCTCTCACTCTCTCTCTCTCTCTCTTTCTCACTCTCTCTCTGTCTTTCTCTCTTTCTCACTCTCTCTGTCTCTCTCACTCTCTCTCTCTCTCTCAGTCTCTCTCTATCTGTCTCTCTCTCACTCTCTCTCTCTGTCTCTCTCTCACTCTCTCTCACTCTATCTCTGTCTCTCTCACTCTCTCTGTCTGTCTCCCTCACTCTTTCTCTCTGTCTCTCTCTTACTCTCTCTCTCTGTCTCTCTCTCACTCTCTCTCTCTGTCTCTCTCTCACTCTCTCTCTGTCTCTCTCTCTCTCCGTCTCTCTCTCTCACTCTCTCACTCTCTTTCTGTTCCTTCCTCTCTGTCTCTTTCTCTCTGTTCCTTCCTCTCTGTCTCTCTCTCTCTCTGTCTATCTCCGTCTCTCTCTCTCTGTCTCTCTCTATCTGTCTCTCACTCTCTCTCTCTCTGTCTCTCTCGCTCTCTCTGTCTCTCTCTCCCTCGCTCTCTCTCTGTCTCTCACTCTCTGTCTCTTTCTCTCTGTTCCTTCCTCTCTGTCTCTGTCTCTCTCTCTGTCTCTCTCTCTGTCTCTCTCTCACTCTCTCTCTCTGTCTCTCACACTGTCTCTGTCTCTCTCACTCTATCTCTGTCTCTCTCACTCTCTCTCTCTGTCTCTCTCACTCTCTCTCTCTGTCTCTCTCTTACTCTCTCTCTCTGTCTCTCTCTCACTCTCTCTATCTGTCTCTCTCTCACTCTCTCTCTGTCTCTCTCTTTCTCTCTGTCTCTCTCTCTCACTCTCGCACTCTCTTTCTGTTCCTTCATCTCTGTCTCTCTCTCTGTCTCTGTCTCTCTGTCTATCTCCATCTCTCTCTCTCTCTGTCTCTCTCTATCTGTCTCTCACTCTCTGTCTCTCTCTCTCTGTCTCTCTCTCTCTGTCTCTCACTCTCTCTGTCTCTCTCTCTGTCTCTCACTCTCTCTCTGTCTCGCTCTCTCTCTCTCTCTGTCTCTCTCGCTCTCTCTCTGTCTCTCTCACTCTCACTCTCTCGCTCTCTCTCTGTCTCTCTCTCTCTCTCTGTCTCTCTCTCTGTCTCTGTCACTCTCGCTTTCTCTCTATCTCTCACTCTCGCTTTCTCTCTGTCTCTCACTCTCTCTCTCGCTTTCTCTCTGTCGCTCACTCACTCTCTCTCTGTCTCTCACTCTCTCTCTCTCTTTCTCTGTCTGTGTCTCTCTCTCTCCCCCTTTTCCCCCTGTCTTCCTTTCTCTATTCCTCTTTCTCCCTTCTGTCTGCCTCTATCTTTCTCTCTGTCTCTTTCTCTCACCCCTCCCTCCCTGGCCGCTCCGGAGTCACCTGCAGATAAAGTAATGCGCAGCACGTTCCTCATGACAAGGTTGCGGAGAATTTCTGTTTCCTGCGTTGCGCCTTTGACGTGAAGCACCTAGGACTCCAAGCAGGGGAGAAGGGGCCTTCTTCTCTGTGTGCGCCGTTCGTTGCAAGCCGAGCCGTCAGGCATTTTTGTGACATGTGTTGCTGGTATTTCTCTTCTTTAGGGCCAGGATTACTTAGCTGCAATGGCCGCTGCAGCGAACTTCGCGTGGGTGAATAGGGGCGCAATATCCTTCCTCGTGAGAGAGGCCTTTGCGAAAGTTCTTGGCGCATCTCCTGACGATCTGGACATGCATGTTGTGTATGACGTCTCTCACAACATCGCGAAGCACGAAGTACGCCGCCTTGTACCCTAAGTTTTGCTGCTGAGTGCAGCTTTTCTCCCTCTTTCCTCCCTCCTTCCCTGCCTCCCTTGCCCCTGTCCAGCCACAGCTGCGAACGCGTCGCGAGCTGCGTGCAGCCTTCAACTGCTTCCTTTTTGCCTCAAAGGCCTCCCCGCATGCTTACTGCCCCACGTATATGCATGCGTTCGGCGGGGCTGCTCAGGAGCACTTCGTCAACGGAGAGGTGCAGAGCTTGCTAGTGCATCGCAAAGGCGCAACACGCGCGCTACCACCACATCACCCCCTCATTCCGTGTGCCTACCAGCTCATCGGACAGCCGGCGCTAATTGGAGGGACCATGGGAACGTGCAGCTATGTCCTCCTCGGTACCGAAAAGGGCCTCAAAGAGACTTGGGCCTCTACATGTCACGGTGCTGGAAGGGCAAAGAGCAGAAATGCTAGCAGAAATACGCTTTCCTTTGAGGACGTCATGCGACGTCTAGAAGAAATGCGCATCTCCGTAAGACACTTGGAGGCCCTCCCTCCTCCTCACGCCTTTCACGCATGCGGATTTGCTGCACGCGGATGCTCGGTAGCCGTAAATATGTCGTGCCCTATGTCTGTGTGCGAGGCACTCGTGCGCTCTTCTCCTGCTGGCCTTGGCAGCCTCACGCTTTCGTTGAAAGGCCCCCCCGTTCCCAAGTGTCTGTGCATGCGAAGAAAAATGGTCTCCGCGCATGTCTGCCGTTCTGCCACGATTTCATCGTGCAGATCTCTCTCTCACGTGTTGTCTCTCTTGCGCCTAGCGCTGCATGGTGCCCTGTTGCCTAGTCCCACGTCCCCTACAGTCGCCTGTACGCAGCAGCAGGAGTAGCAATGCTCTCCCCGCAGCTCCTACCATGGCTCCCTACATGCGCAGAGGACCTGTTACTGAATGGAAACGCAGACCTCTCTCGCTCTCTCTCTCGTGTAGCCGTCGATTATTCTATATACACGTACATCTGACGTGGACATAGGAGGCGTAGAGATTCGTGCACCTCCCAGCTCGAATCTCTACTGACTCGTGACTCCGATGGTCTTGCGGGAGGCAGGCGGTGCAGGAGGCACTTTTTTGGCGAGCTTTCAGATTACTCGTCTCCAGCTTGTGTACTTGTCTGAGTGTGTATATTCCCGTGCCGGTCTGTTACATGCCCACAGCTGCGCGTGGCCTCCCCCAAGTTGGTGGCTGAAGAGGCCCCTGAGTCGTACAAGGATGTTTCCTCCGTTGTGGATACCTGTCACGAGGCGGGTATCTCAAAGAAGTGCGCAAGGCTCAAACCCATCGCTGTTATCAAAGGCTGAAGCGAAGAGCCCATACAAAATACCACGGACCTCATACTGAGACACAAACTCCTACGAGGCGTCGTCGGTCGGTGTTTAGCACCCTAGCGCCGTCAAAGAGAGCCGCTGTGTGCCCCCCTTTCGGGTATATATATATTTACATATATCGCAGCGCCTCTCCCACGGTGCGCAGTATTTCCAAAGAACTGTAACGGCGGCTTTCCCGTCTTCATGTTGCACCAAGAAAGCCTCTCTGGAGGCCCCTTCGGGCCCGAACAACTCGGCCTCACGACAAGGTCTGTAGGGCCTTATCGTGAGCTTCTTTAAGCTTGCTCTTACGAAAGAAGGAGGTGTATATAGCGCCACCGTTTTCTAGCGGGGGGTATGGCTGCATGCCCTTCGCGGAGATCCTCTGCGGCAGCGCTGCATCAAATTAGGGCTTTGGAGTCGCCTATGCGTAACGTGCAGTGCCCCTCTGAAGGCATTCCCGATGGCGAGGAAGGAGCCATGCGTGCAAGAGTACCTCCTGCTGCATAAGAGGGATGGGGTGAGGAGGAAGTCGGGGGTTCTTTGTAAGCCGGACGAAGGCGCTCACGTCTTCTGAATCGCGCATGCATGGGAGCCCCCTAAACACCGGGGGAACTCTGTGCAGCATCGAGCACGCCTCGATCCGCGAGACAGAGCGGCGCAAGTGCTCACGATTGGCTTGGGCAGGGGAGAAGGGGCTGGATAAGCACGTGCTAAAACTGTTGTGTTTTATAAGACGGCAACCTTCTCCCCCCATTCGGCTCTTCCCCCACCCCCTTTTCACCCACCCCTCCTGCCTTACAACCTACCCCCGCCCCCCCTCCCTATGGATCCTTGGATGTTTTCCCCACACGCTACATGGCCGCTACTATTACGCCGCTAGGTGACACGTACCGAAGGGGGCTGCCTGACCAGCAGAAGCCGCAGCAGGAAAATACAACCAGCGAGGGTAGCTCCGAGTGCAACTGCAGGACGGCAAGCTGTAGACTCTAGGCGGTGTATATCAGCTCAGCGTGTACATGAGCCGCGAGCTTCCTTGCTAGGATCGCTCGCTCCTGCAGATGTGATGCCTCGCTCCTGCGGATGCGATGCCTCGCTCCTGCGGATGCGATGGCTCGCTCCTGCGAATGCGATGCCTCGCTCCTGCGGATGAGATAGCTCAATCCTGCGGATGCGATGCCTCGCTCCTGCGGATGAGATAGCTCAATCCTGCGGATGCGATGGCTCAATCCTGCGGATGAGATAGGTCGCTCCTGCAGATGCGATGGTTCGCTCCTGCAGATGCGATGGTTCGCTCCTGCGGATGCGATGGTTCGCTCCTGCGGATGCGATGGTTCGCTCCTGCGGATGCGATGGCTCGCTCCTGCGGATGCGATGGCTCGCTCCTGCGGATGCGATGGCTCGCTCCTGCAGATGCGATGGTTCGCTCCTGCAGATGCGATGGTTCGCTCCTGCGGATGCGATGGCTCGCTCCTGCGGATGCGATGGCTCGCTCCTGCGGATGCGATGGTTCGCTCCTGCGGATGCGATGCCTCGCTCCTGCGGATGCGATAGCTACTAGCGAAGGGGGTAACAAGCATGCAGGGGGGGAAAAGTTTCAAGGCGCTGCTGGTATCAGCCGGCCTGCCCCGCAGCCGACTGTGTTTAAAGCAGCTCTTTCTCCCGCGTGCTTGCTCGCCAGTGGAGTCGATCCTGTTGTTCCCAATGGAACATAAGACAGGAGGGAGGCTCTACGATACCACAAGGCGCTTTTCGCTGTTGCAGCAGCTGCTGCGGTCGTTGCAGCGCTCCAAGCGCAGCACACCGCAGTTTCCCCTCATTAGACACGCTAGCTCCTCATATCTTTATTTAATGCGAAAAAAACAGCTCATTTCACGCGCTAGGAATTACTGTAACGTGAGACGGCCGGCCTGTGCTGCAGGAGCGGCCATCCCGGCAGCTGCCAGCCAAAGGCGCAGCGACGGCTGTAAATGCGGCTTTGCTGAGATCTCCAGCATCCAATTGGTTCAAGGCAAAAGATTTTTGTCGCAGTTCACGATTCGGCGCGCTGTTGCGCTGTCTACCGCATGCCCTCCGAGCAGCAGCAGCTGCTGCTGCTCGAACACCGCGCTGCTTGCTGCAGACGCCGCTGTGCTTGCGTGCCGTCGCGGGGAGGTCTGGAGGAAGGACTGACGCGCATGCACGAAATAAAATAAGCAACTCCTGCATCGCAATTGTGTGTGAGCTTTTTTCGTGGGCAGCGGCGTAGCAGCTCAGACCGCCGCGACTCAGGAGTCCTCTCTACGTGTATGTCGTATATGCATGGCTGCTACCGCTGCCGCAGCAGCAGCAGTAGGAGCAGCAGCAGCAGCAGCTGCTGCTCCTGCAAACAACGGCAACGCACGCCTTCAGGACTTTTGTCTTAGCAGCTGCCGCTGCAGAAGGAGATCCCTGCTGGCTGTGTAAGCGGCCCTTTAGTGCTGCCCCTAAATTGAGGTGTGCCTCTGTGGGGTGTCGGGGAGCGCTCGACTGCGTGACTTCCGGCTGCTGCAAGGCTTTTCTCGCTCTGCGGCGCACCAGCCAGCGCGGCGCAGCAGGAACGGCAAACGCGCAGCGAAAAAGCGGCAGAAAAAGCGGCACACCTACCGTGCATTCCTTCAGCACTCCTGGGTGTATGGACCCTCGGCAGCAGCAGCAAGCGCAGCAGCGGAAGCCCTCGACAGAGGAATGAGGACTGCCTTTCACTCGCATTCCCTGCAGCAGCAGCAGCAGCAGCAGCAGCAGCAGCAGCAGCTGGCACAGCGGCTTCTGCAACGGCCTCTGTCCAGGTAACTCCTGCCCGCATCGCTGCTCTTGTCGCTGCTGCTGCAGCAACAGCAACACGACCAGCAGCAGCAGCAGATGGCATCCGCAGCAGCACAGTTGTTGTACTGCGGCGCCCTCTCCGCAGGCAAAGCGCAGCGCCTCTTTTCCTCCCCTCTCTCCCGCCTTCCTAGCAGCCTGGCAATTACTCTCCACACACACTCTCCACCCCACTCCCACCGCAGCTGCCGCTGCAAGTTCTGCAACAGAAGCAGCCGCGAGAACGCCACGCTGTCGTCGCACTGCCCCTCTCCAGATCCCTCTTCGCTCCCCTCCTCGCATGCAGCAGCAGAAGCAGGAGCAGCAGCAGCAGCTGCTGCTGCAAGTCTTGCAGCAGAAGCAGCCGCAAGACCTCCAAGCTGCTGGCGAAACGCACTGCAAAGACCAGCAGCAAACGGGGGATTTTTCGCAACAACAGCAACAGCAACAGCAACAACAGCAACAGCAACAGCAGCAACAGGAACAACAGCAGCAACAGCAACAGCAACAGCAACAGCAGCAGCAACAGCCGCTGCACGTGCAGCAGCTCCAGCTGCAGCAGCTACAGCATAATACACAACCGCTAGGGAGAGTGCCGTCCCCACTGAAAAATACGCTTCAGAGTCAAAGCTTTTTTAAAACGCATGATGACAGAGAGCTGCCGCAGCCGCTCCCTTCTCCTCCGCAACAGGAGCATCAGACCCCGCAGCAGGATCACCAGAAATTCCTGCAGCAGCCGCTGCCAAGGCTGCAGCAACAGCAACAACAGAAATTTGTCTCAGACGGAAGCCCATACACCGCAGGCAACCTCGCTATCGACACTCCAGACGAACAAGGCGAGGACGCTTTCATTGCACCCTCCAGGTATGGAGTCTTGACACTTCCAAAAAACAAAAACAGTCTTCCTCAAAGCAGAGAGCGGCATGCACGCCGCCTTTCCAGGCGCACGGAAGGAAGGAAAAAGGATGCCTCTCTATAGGGATGTGCACATATATACACACGTATATATATATATATATATATATATATATATATATATATATATATATATATATAGACGTATATATATTACATGTATATATATCTATATGTATACATATATACTACATAAATATATATATCTATATGTATACATATATATTACATAAATATATACGTATATTTATACGTATATATTACATGTATATATATGTATGTGTATGAATGCAAAAGTTCGTTTATACATTTTGTAGATATTCGTGGTGTGTGTTGATTGGTGTGGGGTGTGAATGCAGGCGCGAGGAGGGCTGCACTGCGCTGTATTCGCGCGAGCAGCAGCAGGCGTTGCTGCAGCAGCTGCAGCACTTAGCCGCTGGTATGCTGTGGGAAGGCAGTGGTCGTCAGCAGCCTCAGTTTTCGGCTGCAGGAGCAGAGAGTCTCTTGCGGCTTTTGCAGAGCAGCAAGCAGCAGCAAGAGGTGATGCAGCGTCACGAGCTGCAGCAGCAGGTGATGCCTAGTGCTCAAAGCCATCAAGCGGAAGCGGAGCGGAGATCTTTCCCTCCCCCCCCGCTCCTCCTAAACAGCAGCAGCAGCAGCAGCAGCAGCAGCAGCAGCAGCATGGGCTTTGCTCTAGCAGCTCCCGCCGCTCAGGAGGCTCCCGTAGCGCCCGCCTTTGTCGGGGATGCAGATTTGCAGAAGCATCATCAACCTGACGAGTCTCCCGCTGATCCTCCTTTCTGGCCTCATCCTGCGCCTCACAAGCGGCTACGGAGAGGCAAGAGAGGCGGCAGAAACAAACAGAAGAAGAAGCAACAGGGAGGTGCTGCGGCTGCTCCCTGGGGGCCGTCTTTTGAAGGTTCAGCATCGACAGAAATTCAGCAGCTAGCTGCAGAACGCCCTGAGTTGCTGCTGCTAGCTAGCCATCTGCTGCAGCAGCAGCAGCAGCAGCAGCAAATCCAGGATATGCTGCGCTTGCAGCAAGCCAGAGAACTCCTGAGGGTGCACCAGCAGCAGCAGCAGCAGCGGCAGCGGCAGCAGCATCATTTGTTGATGCAGCAGCATCAGCAGCATCAGCATCAGCAGCATCAGCTGCACCAGCAGCAGCACCAGCAGCAGCACCAGCAGCAGCAGCAGTTGCTGCTTTCAGAAAGTTATCAGCGAGCCTCGTATCCCTCAGGTCTTGACTCGCGGCAGCTGCAACAGCTGCAGCAGCTGCAGCACCAGCACCAGTTGCAGCAGCAGCTCCACCAGCAGCAGCAGCACCAGTTGCAGCTGCAACAGCTGCAGCACCAGCAGCAGCAGCACCAGCAGCAGCACCAGCAGCAGCATCAGCGCGGCTTGCACTCGTCTGACATTGGCGATCTGCGCATGCAGCTGCAGCAGTACGATTTGCAGCAGCAGCAGCAGCAGCAGCTGCTCGTGCAGGAGCAGCAGCAGCAGCAGCTCCACCCCCCGCAGCAGGCCCCACACGTGCAGCAGCAGCAGCAGACGCTTTCCCCTTACTTAAGGGACGGAAGAGCCGCCGCTGCCATGCGCCTGCAGCAGCAGCAGCAGCAGCAGCTATGGCTGCTGCTGCAACAGCAACAGCAACAGCAGGAAGCGCACTCGCATCCGTACGGCAGTATTCGCTTCCTCCCGAATGTCAGGGAGCCTCGCGCATCCCTCAGCAGCGGCGTTGTAACGCCACACTGGGGACGGCAGCAGCAGCCGCAGCAGCAGCAGCAGCGGCAGCAGCAGCCCCTTAGAATGAACTCCAGCAGCAGCAGCACCAGCGGTCGTGTGTACATAGTTCCTGCACAACGGCCCGAGCTCCCCCAGCAGCAGAAACAGCAGCAGCAGCAGCAGCAGAAACAGCAGCAGCAGCAGCAGCAACAAGAATTGGCTTCCCGGGGGCCTGTGGGGCCCCTTGCGCTACCGTCTAGCATTAGTGCGCTGCCTCCCCCAGCAGCTGCTGCCGCTGCAGCTGCTGCAGCAGCTGCCTCTGCCGTTTCCGCTCCTGCGCTTCCCTCTGCTGCTGCTGCTGCTCCGTTGTCTACCGCAGCAGCAGCGGCAGCAGTAGACAGGGAAGTTTCGGATTTAGCGCAGTGTTTCTCTGAATGTACCGTCAGTACTGGGGAGGGCCTGCTTGTTGCTTCTCCTGCTCGATCCGTTCACAAGGCAGCTCCCACGACAGCACCAGTAGGGCATGGGAGGCCTCTTGCAGATTGGGAGAGCGGAACGGCAGCTGCGGGAGGAGGCTTTGGAGGAGCGGCTGCTCGCCCCGGTAGCTGCAACACTGCTGCGTGTCGCACGAACAGCAGCAGCAGCAATCACAGCAGCAGCAGCAATCACAGCAGCAGCAGCAGCAGCAGCAGCGCAAACGGGTACCGTTTGCTTGTGAACGCCTCGGAGAAAAGGCAGCTGCTGCCTTGAGAGGCCTCCGTCTCGTTTTCCCGCTTCGTGTAGCGATAATGGTGCCTTGTCTTTGCATCTCTATTTTGTTTCGAGCTGCTGCTCTCGGCAGCTGATGCAGCAGGAGCAGCAGCAGCTGCTGATGCAGCAACAACAGGTCTGTACTCAGGCTCGACTTCCACCGTCTGTGGCCGCTTGCCCAGAGGCTTATTATGACATCTCTTGAAAGGGTGTCTCCCCTTCCGTGCGCGGCGGAAGGAGAATTAGGGGCGGAAGCCCTCCACGCGATGGGGGAGGAGCTTCTCCCCCCTATCTCCCGCCTTCACTTCACCTCCCCAAACCTTCGAACCCTTCTCCCTGCCTCCTCCCCGATCGCCGTGGTGCTCCTCGCCAACTCCTTTCCTTCGCGCCTCATTCGGCACTTCACTGCCCCTTCACTCCCCCTACCCTACGTTGCGCAGGAGCGGGGGACGAAAGTCTCCTTAAGGCCCCCCTCCTCTGTTTCCGCCGTGCGGAGTCTCCGCTGTGGTTCGTTTCGCAATCATTCCGGGGTATCCTTGACTCTTTCTCTCGCGTCGTGCTCCCGCCTTCCCCTCCCCGCCTTCCCCTCCCTTCAGTTAGGGTTTATTTATGGCTGGCAGGCAGAGGCTCACCGGTGCGCCGAGCTTTGGGGGCCCTTTTCCCTCTCTCTCTCTGTCTGTCTCTCTCTGTCTGTTTCTCTCTCTGTCTGTTTCTCTCTCTCTCTGTTTGTCTCTCTGTTTCTCTCTCTGTTTCTCTCTCTGTCTTCGGGGACAGAGAGAGAAACAGACAGAGAGAGAGAAACAGAGAGAGAGAGAAAAACAGACAGAGACAGAGAGAGAAACAGAGAGAGAGAGAGAGAAAAGGGCCCCTCTCCGGTACACTGGGCCTTATCGAGGGCCCTCCTCCCTTCGGGAGCCTCAGGATGCGGAGGGGATTCATTTGTGGTTTTGCTTTTATGCCTGACAAAACATCATGCGGTCACCTGCTGCTGTTCGTTTTTATCGCCCTAAGGGCGCACATGACTGCCTGCCTCCTTTTTTCTCCTCATCTTCAGCCTGTCAGTTATGGAGGGAGGCTCGCTGTGCCTCTCAGGAGGCCTACAGTCTCCTCGCGTTTGTGTGCTCACTAGGGGTCGCCCTCCCTCAGGGGCCCCTTCCGCCCTCGCAATGAAGGGGCCACAGGGGGAGGGGCCCTCACCTTAAACAGGAGACACATCATGACACCCCAGGAGGGGACCTTACAGCGGCCGGGGAGTTTTTTTCTTGGAGTGCGTCTCCCCCAACAGTCGCCTTGCTACGGAGTTTGAAGCGCAACAAACACACACACAAATACACATACACACACAGACACACACAGACACACATGCACATTCTGGCGAGCCTGCAGCTGTAAAACGCCGGTGCTATGGAAGTGCGCCGAGAACGCCCTATCCTACTGGCCCCCTCCAACTGACTGCGTCGGGAGGGGGAGCAAAATCTTGCTGCTGCTGTTGCTTTCGCTGGTGCTACACCACCTAAAAACGAAGTCCTGATTCCCTGACGCATGCACGCATGCACGCATGCATGCGTGCACGCAGAACGCAGGGTGCCTCCAGGAGGCGCGCATGCGACACACACTGCCTCCACCGGGGAGCTGGCTGATCAGGGTCTGCAGAGAAGAGAGTGCAGATGCAGCTGTAACGGAGGCGCATGCGTAATGTGTGTGTCGGGAGTCACCCCCTCTCTGGAGGGGCCGCGAGGGCAGGGGCGTATGGGAAAAGCGGGTGAGGGTGCAGGAGCTGTGAATAGCGAATGCTGCATTCTCTATTCGAGCTTGTGTTCTGTGTGAGTGTGTGAGGGAGTTTGTGCGCCTCTCTGAGGCTGTCGTCGAGAGGCACGCAGAGGGCTGAATAGCGCGCGGGAAGCAGCGGGGGTGCAGGAAACTAGCCACCAAGCACATAGATGAAGACGCAGAAAAATCGTTTCAGCTGGCGGATGGTGTCGTGAGTGATGTGGGTGCTCTTTCTGTGGAAATCGGCCTTCAAAGACGCTCTGGAGACCCCCGGAAACGTATTCGTGCCTCTGCCAGCAAGGCAGCTTTACTGCTGCCAAAGGGAAATGCACAGCACTTTTATCAGGGAGAAGCGCAACAGGCCATGCCCCTTCTTCTTCCACCAGCCTTGCTGCTTGCCGTTCGCCTCTCATGCCGCCTCCAGTCCACCCCAACAGAAAACAGCAACACATCCCCACAGGAAGAACCATGTCTCCGAGAAAAACAAGCGGGTGCAGGAGAAATGCCCGAGTGGATGGGCAGAATGCCTGCAAAAGAGTCCTCTAGGCTTTTTGCTCAAGAGGGCGTGGCAAAGCACCCGCGGCTAGACGACACGCATATAACCCTCTCTGCGTTACAAGCTCCTGCGCGGAGGGGCTTTCTGCGCCATGTGTATACCCCTTCTGCCGCGTTTGAGGAGGCCTCCCAAGGAGCCTGCAGACCACCCTCTGTGGAGTATGCATGCCCTCCTTGCTCCTTTCTCCTCTCTCAAGTGACTCGGCCTGCATTCTACGAGACAGCGAGTGCTTGCAAGCGCCTGCTTCCACAAACTGCGTGCTGCACAGCTGACGGCCTTCACCTGCGACACGGTAACAGGCAAGCAAGGCTGATGGAAAACTTCTTGCGTCTGCAAAGATGCACGCCTCATGAATTGCGCAGCTGCGCACACACCATCGCCTCCTCAACCACAAGACCTTCCCAGGGAGGGTCTCCCCGCAAGTGCCATTTTACTCCCGCCTTCCCCCCTCGAACGCAGCTTTCCAGCCGTCCTTCGGCGTAGACGTCTCCAAGAGTGGTGGGGGGAAGGTTATATTCGCACCGTTTTCGCTGCCCCCTCCTCTCAGCACGCAGCTCCACAAACCCCACAACGAGGGGGGAACAAAGGGCGCTCGCCGACGTCTGTCTGGCTAGCGAACTGCATGCGAGAGGCCGTGAACGTGACAAGGCACTGCGATGCCTTCCAGGTTGTCTATGGAAAGAGGGGAAGATACGCCACGGAGGGGGCTTTCTCAGAGCTTTCAAAACAGCCCTGCGCAAAAGGGCTTGACGTAACGAGGAAGCTACATGCATTTTCTTGTAGGTAGCCGCATACGGGGGAGCTCACGAAGCGCACTGCACCCCCTCAAAGAAGCAGTAGAGCTTTCTAAAGCTTCTAAAACGGCAACAGATGGCAAGCGTCTCCGCGTGGCAGACTAGCAGCACTAACGCTCGTAGAAAATAACGCGCAGCAGGTCAAATCATCGACCGATCTCGACAGCAGGAGCAGCAGCACCAACAACAGCACCCAGCGTACGAGGAGCAAGCTAAGCAAAGCTAAATAAGTCCTTTGCGGCCTTCCTCGAGAAAGAAGGAGAAGGAGGCTCCTGCTGCAGTCTACAAGGGCCAGCTCGGCCGTTTTCTTTGACAGCTGCAGCTCGGTCGGTGGCTTCCCTTTACCTATACTTCCAGTGTCGTTGCCTCAACAGCCAATACCTCTCGTTTGCCGCAACAGCCGCAAGAGCGGCGGATTGCAGCGGCAACAGCAACAGCCTCGCACCCGCTACGCAGTCGGAATCTGCCAACCCTCGCGAGGGCAGCACCACCAGCGCTTGCAAGGTAGAGAAAGCTCTGCAGCAGCAAAGCGCCCACGCCGCACCTTGCAGCGTGGGCGGTTCGCTGCGTGTGGGGCCCCTTCACTGAAATTTTTCATCCGTAAAATACTCCTCGTCGAAGCTGTACAGACGAACATAGCCGTCTTCGCCCCCCGAGGCGTATCCACTGCCATCTGGACGCCATGCCAAAGTGTGCAAAGGGCCGAAGTGCCCTTTGCAGCTCGCAATCTCTTCGCCTCGTACAACATGGTAGAGCAAGGCTTCAAACTTGCCTTCCCCGCTTGCTGCACGAGGCAACATACACCCACAGACACGCAGTGCGCATGCACACACAACACACCCATGGAAAGCCTCCGCCACGTCTATAAGGCCACTTTTTCGCACGGATTTACACAGCACGTGCATGCGCTGTTTTTCCCCCACTCCCCCCAGAGGCGCCACCCTCCCTTCAAGACGCTGCTGCTCTGTCTGTCTGTTTGTCTGTCTTGGAATGCCGCTCCATAGCACGAACAAAACTACCAATATACATCTCCTTCCCGTCCCCCCTTTCTTCCCCTCTCGCCCTTAAAAAAGCGCTCACGAGCACGCAAAACGGATGCCATCAGACAGAAAACTCACCAGTGGTCGTGACATCCTCTGCCGCTTGACCACCCCCCATAAGGAGATGCATCTTCCTCTCTGGCCCCGCATGCGTCAACAACGGACTCAACGCGCAAGAATTGAGGGGTCTGTCTGTCGTGTATGTCTGAAGCCACAGAGACAGCAACAGCAGCGCAGAGGGCATTAAAGACCGTGACACAGACAAAGCTCCAAGCCTCAGACAGTACACCCTTCCCACCAGAACGCCTTTCTCATCAAAACGCGGGGTTTTTCTGCGAAAAAACAAAACCTTCCTTACCTTTAAACACTCCCAATCCTTCGTAGACCACAGCTTTGCAGTGCCGTCAGAACAGGTCTGATGAGCGCAGCAGCAGACATTGAAAAACACACAGCGGCTTCCACAAGCGCATGCAAAAGAACGCCCCTGCTGCTGCTGCAGCCGCTGCCGCCTCCCCAAAGGGAAGCCACACACACTCTGCTGCACCAACTGCCTAAGGAGTAGAGGCAGCATCTTCCCCACGCAAGCAAATGTGTATACACACACACACAGCACAACACACATACAAACACACACAGCACAACACACATATACACACACAGCACAACACACATACACACACACACAGCACAACACACACACACACATGCAGAAGCAGCAGCAGCGGAAATCGCACCGTAAGCGCCAGCATCCTGTCAGCAGAGAAGCTCATGCACGTAATGAAAGCCTTGTGACCGCGCAGCTCATTGATATACTCTCCGTTGCTCGCATCCCACACCTAGAAGCAGCACAAACAGTAGCAGGAGCAGCAGCCGAGACGATAAAGGAGGCTTCTATACGGCTGCCAAAGAAACCAAAGACCTGTGGACTGCTCTGTTAAAGGAAAGCGGCTATCCTTCAACAGAGACAGCAATACGCATATATGTGTGTATGTATGTGTGTATGTAGGTGGGGAAGGAAGAAGGCAGCTGCTGCGTACGTAGCGAACTTTTCCGAAACAAAAAACCGCTCACATCTGCCCAGCCCCCTTCCGCCCCCCTTTCCCTACGCAGTCTCCCCAGCAGTGTGTCGCCTCCCTCCCCTCTCCAGCCCAGAGAAGAGCTCTCCCAGTACCATAATATCGCCATTCTCGTGTGTAGAGACGATCGTTTCATCGAACGCTCCCCAATGCACTTGCGTGCAGCGAGCCGCAAAGTCATCTTGTACCCACAGCCGCTTCGGAGTTTCCCCGTCCACCTGCAAAAAAAGCCGCATGAAAAGAAAATTCAACGCATCGGCTTTGCAACCCCCAACATATGACACAGCATGTGTGCAGCGACAACGCTGCATAAAAACTCGAGAAAAAAACGCCTCCACCTCCACTTTTTCCCCCTACTCCTCCCTCCCCCTCTCCCTCGAAGCGTCACCCCACAGGCCTCCATCACTGCATTGTATCCACAATAAAAGCTTCTAAACAATTCCCCCTCACGCAAAAATCAAAAAAACAAAACTCGCACGCCTGTCAGGACGCTTGCGGGGAGGCGTTTCTTGACGCGAGACTCAGCAGCGGGCTGTAATGACGCAGGGAGTCAGTCAGTCTCTCTCAGTCTATCTCTATCTCTCTCTCAGGCTCTCTCTCTCAGTCTCTCTCTCTCTCTCTGTCTCTATCTCAGTCTCTATCTCAGTCTCTATCTCTCTCTCTCTCGCAGACTTTGTGAGACTCACCTTCCAGACTTTGATTGACTTCACACTCTGTGCGCCAAAGTTTTCGTGTGCGACTACAAAACGCGTCTGCTGCGTGGGCATGCGGCACCACTCCACGAATCTGCGTCACAATCCGAGTGAACGAGGAAGCCTTGTACCATGCAACACACTCCCGCGGAAAAATACCATCCTTTTAGTGTGGACCGATTTCTTCTGCGGATCCGTGAGCACGTATGCGCCTCGTTAAACCCGCAAAAACACTGCTCGATATGCCCTTTTGGCATGCCAAAAAATTGCTCACTTGCAAGGCCCCTGCTCAGGTATCTCGTGCAACAGCGTTCCCGAGCAGACGTCGAAGATGAGCACCTTCTGGTCGGCTGAGGCAGCAATCAATCGCTTCGAGTCGAGAGTGCAGTCGCACGACCAGACAACACCTTTTCCCACGTCGTATGTGCCTGAAAGGAGGACGACAGAGACGCAGCCTCGAACAAACAGATCGTCTTTAGAGGAAAAACCGCATTGCTGGCAAGTAGAGAGCTCTAGAAAAGAAGCCATCACCAACAAACAAACAGTCTCCATCCGAAGAGGCACACCATTGCCAACAAACAAATAGTCTCCATCCGAAGGGGCACACCATTGCCAACAAACAAACAGTCTCCATCCGAAGAGGCACACCATTGCCAACAAACAGATAGTCTCCATCCGAAGAGGCACACCATTGCCAACAAACAAACAGTCTCCATCCGAAGAGGCACACCATTGCCAACAAACAAATAGTCTCCATCCGAAGAGGCACACCATTGCCAACAAACAAATAGTCTCCATCCGAAGAGGCACACCATTGCCAACAAGTGAACATTGCACAAACTCGCATACATGCATGCATGTATGTACGTCTACAGAGAAGGCAGGCTAGGTAGACGGGTGCAAGGACTGCAAGAGTCTTGGAAAAAGGACAGGAAGACAGAAGCCGTGCGAAAAGGAGAGACTGCCTCTTCCCCTGTAGTTCAATTGGTGCATGTAAGAAGAGCCAGAGGGATGCGCGAAGCTAGCGAGGGCAGCACGAGGTGATATATGTAAATATGCATCGAGACGTCGATCTGCTGCAGGAGTGTGGTTGCATCGCAAGAGAGGGTGCTGGTGAGTGGGCGAGTGATGCGGGAGCAGGAGTGTGAAAAGAAAGAAGCTTGGAAGATGGAATCGGAAAGCACGGCTGCCTTGCGAGGCAGAACAGGGATCTTCAGGAGCGCAAGCCGATTGAGGCAAACGAACGCTTGGACTGGAGAGTGGGAAATGAATTTGTGAAAAACGCGAGGATAGTGTTTTTGCGAAGGAACCGACGCAGTGGCAGCGTTTTTCTCTGCCGTTTTTGGATCATACGCTGCACTACAGTGCCTGCTGGGTAGGTTGAAGTCGGCGAAGAATGCAGGAAATTTCTGTGCTGAAGGGCTGCTGGAGCTGCCCCTTCCCCGCGGAAGTTGCATGACGTACCAATGCGTCTGCCATCCTCGGTACGCCAGAGAGACAAATTCGCATCCTGAGGAGCAGCAGCAGCAGCAGCAGCAGCAGCAGCAGCAGAGGCATCAGAAACATGGGGTGATGGCAAGGAAAGGAGAGGGAGGGAGATCAGGTGGGAGAGAAGGAAGGAAGAGAGGGAGGTGGAAAGATTGTGTTGCATCTGCTCTTGGTAGGGTGCTGCTGCTGGTGGAGGAAGAGGCGTTTGTAGAAGCAACAAGCTCGCTGCGGCTGCTACTGCGCTGAGGAGGCTTCATCGATGCCTCCTGCATCGAGCGAGGCCCCTTTTCGAGTCTGCTTGCGCGCAGAGCAGAGGCGGGGAAGGAAAGAAGGGGTGAAAAAGGCAGCAGCAGCAGCAGCAGCACTGTTCGTCGCTGCTTAGGGTGTCGGAGGGGTCGTCGAGGTGGAAGTGCGCATCCCTCCTACCTTGCCGCAAGTAAACATGATATCGCCATCACGATTGAACTGAACCCATGTTAGGGGCCTGTCGTGGCCTTGCAGCAGAAGGGGATACATCTTCTCTCTGGAACGTGCTGCTGCAGCAGCAGCAGCAGCAGCAGCGGCAGCAGCAGCGGCAGCGGCAGCAGCAGGATAGGGAGGCAAGGCCCTTAGGTCCAGGAAAAAGGTGCAAGATGATCATAAAAATGCCGTATTTCCGCTGTTGGACAGCCTCTGCATGCAAAATCCCTCTTGTGGGGTCCCCAGCAGCAAGCCCTAAAGCAGCAGCAACAGCAGCAGCAGCAGCAGCAGCAGCAGTAGGCCTGTGCCGGCTGCTGCTGCTGCTGCTGGTCGTATTGCAGACAGGTGAAGGGTGGATGGAGCTTTTCAGCAAGTTGGGCTGCCTCTTTGATCTGGCGCTTAAGTATGTCTGTTTTATCATTCTACGGTTCCTCTTTCTGCTCTAGTGACTGTCTAACTGAGCCAAGGAGCGAACCTTCCTCAGCTGCGGACTGCAGTGGTGCAGCTGCAGCCGCATATATGCAACACTACCGCCGACAGGAAGCGCAAAAGCAGCCGCAAAGGAGGGCTCCGCAGCGAGAAAAAAGGAACTCTTTGACTCAAACTTCTCAAGAAGCTCCTAAGACACCCTCGATCCGACGCTGCTGCAGCTCCAGTGAAGGCGTTTGATTCGCATCGCACGCAGCACGACACCCCAACAACTGCAACAGCGACAGCAGTATCAGGTCCGACGCCGGAGGCAACAATATCTCTTTTTCAACGCAGGCAACAGTACAGCACTTCTTCCGAGCGAGGGAGGCGGGAGGGAGGGGGAGGCTGCACACCTCGCAGCTTCCCGAGACAGAGAGAGAGAGAGCAGACAGCTGTCTTCGCACAGAGCTGGCCTTCTCGTTTCTGCATGCATTGCTGCTGCAGCTGATGCCGCTACGGCTTTGACTGCGTCAGAAGGCAGGCTGCAGCTGACAAAAATACAAATGGCAGAGGGGCCACAAATGAGGCGTCGCTACGCCGATCCTCAGGGAGGAAGCTTCCAGCCTCGCAAAGCTACAACGGAAGCGGCAGACACACAGTCATTGCAGCAGCAGCAGCAGCCACTGGGGCAGCAGCAGCAGCAGCAGGCTCCAGAGCATCGAGCGCAATACACGGGGGATGCTGCTGCATCAGCGCATCCGCAGGGAGAAGAGGATTACCCACGTCAACAGCATCAGATATATAAATCACAACACCAGTCGTACCAGCCTCCTCATCATCAGCATATACCTTATGCAATGCATCAGCAGCAGCAGCAACAGCAGCAAAGGCAACAGCAGTACGAGCTCCCTCGGCAGCAACGGCAACAGCAGTACGAGCTTCCTCAGCAGCAACGGCAACAGCAGTACGAGCTCCCTCGGCAGCAACGGCAACAGCAGTACGAGCTTCCTCAGCAGCAACGGCAACATCAGTACGAGCTTCCTCAGCAGCAACGGCAACAGCAGTACGAGCTTCCTCAGCAGCAACGGCAACAGCAGTATGAGCTTCCTCAACAGCAACGGCAACAGCAGTATGAGCTTCCTCAGCAGCAGCCTCAACAGCAGTACGAGCTTCCTCAGCAGCTTCCTCAGCAGCAACGGCAACAGCAGTACGAGCTTCCTCAGCAGCAGCCTCAGCAGCAACGGCAACAGCAGTACGAGCTTCCTCAGCAGCAGCCTCAGCAGCAACGGCAACAGCAGTACGAGCTTTCTCAGCAGCTTCCTCAGCAGCAGCAACGGCAACAGCAGTATGAGCAGCCTCAGCAGCATCAGCAGCAGCTTCCTCAGCAGCAGCCTGTGCCGCCGTATGGAAAAGGGTCTGAGAGTCTACAGGGGTCTTTAACATCGTACAACGCGCATCTGCAGAGACACTCACAGGGAGTTAGCTCTCAGCAGCAGCAGCAAGCCAGTTACAATGGAACGGCGTTAGCGAGTGGCAGACTGGGGGGTGCTGCACATGCGAGGGGTACTCCTGTATGGCCTCCTGGTATGCCTTTGGAAAAGCCTGGCGTTTCGGGGGAATACTTTGAAGAGAGGCAGGTGAGTTGGGTAGGAGGCGGCTGCTGCGCTGTGCTAGAAGGCTGTTGTGAGTCGTCTTGCCTCCGTAGAGTTGCGTGGAGCTAGCGAGGTAGCTAGCGAGGTAGCTAGCGAGGTAGCTAGTAGCTAGCGAGGTAGCTCGTAGCTAGCGAGGTAGCTAGCGAGGTAGCTAGCGAGGTAGCTGGTAGCTAGCGAGGTAGCTAGCGAGGTAGCTAGCGAGGTAGCTGGTAGCTAGCGAGGTAGCTAGCGAGGTAGCTAGCGAGGTAGCTGGTAGCTAGCGAGGTAGCTAGCGAGGTAGCTAGCTCGTAGCTCGTAGCTAGCGTTCGTTTCTGTGGCACTTTGAACGAATGTTTTTTAGGGAGGTGTGCGTCATCCTGGTGCTCCTATGGGGGCGGCTTTTCCTGGCTCGCATTGTTTAAGAGCGGCGGAGGGAAATTTTAACGCTTTAGGTGCTTTCCCAGGGGGAACCCCCTTGGTACTGCCTGAGGGGCAGTTGACTGGCGAGATGCAGCGCATGCAGGAGGCTGCCAGCCTTCCTGCTGGTGGGGCGTTCTCCTTCATGAACTTGACGCGGCTTTTTTCTTTTTCCCAGCAACGGGGAGAAGCTGTCAGCGGCGCAGCGGCTGTAGCAGGTGCAGCAGCGGCGGCGTCGCAGGATGACTCCGAAGATCCCTTCGACAGCGAACCTCCCCTGCTAGAAGGTAGAAACAAGCGCTGAGGCTTTCCTTTGGGGGGAAAAGCGAAAGCGTGTTAACCTCGCCAGCCTCGCAACATAGCTAGTCGCATGTACAGCCGTCCCTTCTTCCTCAGTAGCATGGCTAGCAGTCGCACAGCAGGCGTTCGGCTTGTGGTCGCGCGATGTGCTTGCAGAGCTGGGAATACACCCCGCAGACATTTGGAGTCGTACAAAGGCGGTACTGCTTTTCAGCAAGTGAGGCGGCAGGCAGCTAGAAGAGCAGCGTTAGGGGGGTCAGAGCACAAATGAGCGTATTTCACTCTTGGAGGATCTACGAGAACCTCGGCGATCCAGAGGACGCCTGCAGACTGGTGGCTCCTGCACGTTTTCCTCGAGATAAGCGCTTGCGATTTTGGCCGTGCAAAGGGGTGTCTCTGGAATGTTTGTGTGAGGCTTTGCAAGGTGTTTGTAGTGTCTGTCTGTGTTGGTGTGTCTGTGGGGGGAATGCTTCAGAGCAGATCACGATCTGCTTGCCGACAGTGATTTGTGCGGTCCCATGTTGATTGCCATAGTTCTCGCCGTCCTCCTTTTCCTCGTGAGCAAATCTCGATGCTTTTGCTGCTGCTGTTTTTTGCTGCTGGCAGAGCTCGAGTTTGGTGGCAGTGTGTCTTCTGCAGGAAAGGGGGGAGAAAAAGGCGGATTTTAGCTGGCGTTGAACGGGGAGGGGGGAGGGGGCGTCTTGTGGTGCTGGGCGCATTTTTGTTCGTGGAGAAGGGGGGGGGGGAGGTGAAGGCAGGAATGTTGATTGTGGCTCTCTATCTATTTTTTAGGCTGGGAAGGCTTCATTTGGGTGTCTTTACGGCATGAGCATCATCGGCTCCCTCTCGACGTATTTGCTGCTGAACCTCATGTCGCGGGTAGGGGCTTTTTTCGAGGGGATGCTTCTAAGGCTAAAGCTGTCGATACACTGGGCATATTCTGCCCTCCCTAAAGGCACGCCTCGCTGCACGCAGGCAGGCAGGCAGAAGGGGTGGATTAGACGTGGAGGGAGAGGGGGGTTGTGGGGGAAGGGGGCAGTCCAGGAGGACAGAACAGGGGCAGATAGGGGGATATACCTTTTTGACATGTGTGTGTATGTGTCTGTCTATGTGTGTGTGTCTGTCTGTGTGTGTGTGTGTTGCGGGCTTCTTGCGCTACAGGGTGAAGGCGTGGATCTGTATCGCACGGCATCCATTTTAGGATACTCTTTGATACCAGTCGCTGCTGCAGCATTTGCTGCGCTCTTCTTGGAGAGTAGGCCCCTCCTGCGGCTTGCGAGTGCTGCACTCGGTGTGGCGTGGGCAACCTTTACTGCTTCTTCCTTCTTCGAATCGGTACGAACTGCCTCTCGTTAGGGAGCAGCCGGGCTGGGGGGGAAAAATCCTCCCTCTCATCACTCTTTCCTCTCTTTTCAAAAGCACAGCAAAAATTTGTCTCGACAATGGCAAGGGTGGATTTGGGGAGGGGAGAGGAGGGTAGGAGAGGTGTGTGTTTGTGGGCGGACTGACTGTCAGTACCCCCGCGCTTGTGTTGAAGCGTGCCTCTTTTGAAGCCACGTTCGGAGAGGACGCTGAGTGTAATGCAGATGCTAATGCCAGTGCGTTCTGAAGTGCGTGGAATGGCTAGCCACGCCTCCTTCCTCGCAAACAATGCGGGAGTTCGCGGCTCTCTATTGCTGCTGTCGACGGTGTTTCTCCCCCGCAGGCACTTCGCTTGGAGGAGCAGCGCTTCTTGGTTGGCTACCCCATCTTCCTGCTGTACGCCTCTTTTACGATCCTCACACTCTTCTAAGTGGCCCTTTTAGCTCACCAGAAAAGGGGGACCTCGTGGCGTTGTTGGAAACAGCAGAAGGCGATCACAGGAGCTGCTCAACCCTAACGCTGACACACACACACACACACACACACACACACACACACGCAGCCACCAACCTCGCTTTTTTCTCGAAGGCTTTGCAAAAAAGAGAGCTTCTTTCTACATTACGCCTCCTGCGGCGCATGGATGGACTTTGCTGCGCGCTAGCGGCATTCAGGGGGTGCTCTTCTCACGCTCTCTCCCCTCTCCGCGAAGTCTTCTTCTAGCCTTCCTACGCAACCCATAGAGAGAGAGAGAAAAGTTTTCCCCCCTTCCCCCTCCCTCCCACCACTATATAGTTACCACATAGGTGCAGACTCCGCAAGGAGGGGCCGTCTCTCAGAGAGAGGACAATCTCCGCAAAAGACACTCAGTGCGCCATTGTTGCTTGATCCCTAGTGTGGTATGCGCTTTCGGTAGAGAGGACTGCCCGACGGAGACCTCTTAGGGAAGGGGGGAGGAAGGGGGCGTGTGTGGCAGAGGTGATGTGTCTCCTAAAGCTGCTGCAGGCTGGCAGAGAGAAGGGGGGGGAGGGGGGACTGCCTCTGCCGGAGGACGCGTGGCGGGTTGTGCGTGTGCGTGTGCTTGAGCTAGCGAAAAGGACTGCGCAGTCTTTTTCGCTAGCTCAGATGTCTGCTATGTGCGGCATGCGCCTTGGTTCGTAAAGGAACTGCTAAGTTAGATCATCAAGAGTGGAATACGATATCACACCCTTTCTTCAAATTGGTCTACTGCAGGCCGTCCAAATAAAAATGACCTCTCTCTGCCGTTCTTTACATGAGAACGGCTCATATGCAAATTACGTTCCCATCTGGAAATGCGGAGGGGCAGCCACCGGCGTGACGCAAAATCAAAAAAGAGACACACATACACGCATAGGGTGCGAAGTTCTCACTAGGGACGATCTCGGAGCCGCCTCCTTGTCACTAGCAAAGTTGTCATACAAGCAACCAAAGGCTGCTTCAAAGTGGTAACTTTGCAGCACATTTTACTCAAAGACTACCTCCGTAGCATCAGAGTCTTCGTTGTGGGCTCCCATGCAGCTGCACGTGAAAAGTCTGCTCAGGAGTCCTTTCTGCTTCAACTCCGTAACAAGGGTGTCAAGCCTGTGCAGCTCCTTCCTGAGCGCTTCCATCTCGTGCTCTTTGTCGCGCAGAAGCTGCTCGTGCTCTTTCTGCAACTCGAGCTCTATGGCTGGCATATCCTCAGGGTGAACTTCCTGCAACAGCCACTCACACAAGGACGCTGCCTACAGCAACTGCTGAGCGACTGGTAAGGGGATGTGCGGACTCTTCCGAGAGAGATCCTCCATTGAACACTGCTCAAGCGCTTCAACGCCTAGATTTAGCGACCTACGCCTGAAAGGAGTTGCGTCTTGATGGACAGTTGCTGCACACACGGCACAAGACAGCAGTCACATGGCCGGGAATGACGGCTACGGCTGGCAGCCAGCTGCTGCTGCTGCAGCAACACAGCAGCAGGCGCTGCAGCAGGTGCTGGGATGGGCAGGTGTCGTACCGCCTTAAGAACGGCGTTTTCCTTCTCCAGCTGCAGAACAGGAAGAGAGAAAAAGGGTCTCAGCATCACTCGGGAACGCTCGTAAAGTTGTACCACTCCTTCTGCCTACCTGCCTATATCGATACATAACTGTATGCGAAATATGTTTGCCGTGCTTATTGTGCGCGGCTGAAAAAGAGACATATAAATGGAAAGAAAGGAAGCAGTAGCAACTCCAAACCCTCTACAGCACACGGCACCTCAACGCCTATGAACCTCTCGGGGGACTACACGCGCAGCAAGCTCGACCCTCTCTGTTTCTCTCCCTTTCTGTTTCTCTCCCTTTCTGTTTCTCTTTTTCTCTCCCTTTCTGTTTCTCTTTTTCTCTCCCTCTCTGTCGCTCTCCCTCTCTGTCTCTCTCCCTCTCTGTCCCTCTCCCTCTCTGTCTCTCTCCCTTTCTGTCTCTTTTTTTCTCCCTCTCTTTTTCTCTCCCGCTCTGTCTCTCTCCCTCTCTGTCTCTCTCCCTCTCTCCCTCTCTGTCTCTCTCCCTTTCTGTCTCTTTTTTTCTCCCTCTCTGTCTCTCTCCCTCTCTGTCTCTCTCCCTTTCTGTCTCTCTCCCTTTCTGTCTCTCTTTTTCTCTCCCTTTCTGTCTCTCTCCCTCTCTGTCGCTCTCCCTCTCTGTCCCTCTCCCTCTCTTTTTCTCTCCCTTTCTGTCTCTCTCTCGAGCGCGGCTCACCTTTTTCCGTTCATTCTCGATGACCAGTAGCTGCATGCACATAGGTACAGTGCATAACAAGAGCAGTGGCGGGCAGCAGTGCAGCCAGGTTCTTGGGAAACATGCCCCTGCAGCTGGTGTCGCGGCAGCAGCTACACTAGAGGCAGCATGCGCCTGAGGCTAGGAGACTGGAATGTGTGTAGCAGGAAAACAGAAGCGGAGGGGACTGTGTTAGCTGAACTCCAGTAAAGCACCTTGTGTCTTAAGGAGTCTTCGGGAATCTCGCTATCCACAGAGACCATCCTTGCAGCAGCTTCGGGGAACTCCCGGAGTTTGCCCCCCTGTGAAGAGCCTACGGAGGCTTGGAAATCGAAAACGAGGAAGTCACGAGATCTTCGCACGCGTGGTCAGCTGCAGCTAGCCACTGAAATCGACCATACACTGCGAACGCCGCTGTACCGGTGTGAGTCGGGGGGCCCAATCCTGGAGGCGCAGCGGCGAAAAACTTGCGAGCACCAAAAATAATTGCTTCTTAAACTTAAAAATAAGGTGAAAAGCCGAAGGAGGCGGCTTTTCCACAACTATCCTGTTACACAGAGGGAGGGGGCCCCTGCGGCTGCTGCTGCCGCCACTCGATCTCAATGAATGGGGCTGCTGCTGCTGCTGCTGCTGCTGCTGCTGCTGCTGCTGCTCGGCTAATCTTCTACAGGGGCCCTTTACGGGGGGCCTCAAGGGGGCTGCCACCCACCCTTCGAAAAACACTTTGGTTTGAGGCTTCCTTTTTCTTTCTGCTTCCCCGAGAGGGTGTGCTCGTTCTCCTTCTCGCTCTCTCTCGCTCCCTCCTGCCGCCTGCCTCCGAGGCGCATCGCGTCGGCAAAGGTTATTTTTTCTGCTGCTTCGCGGTCCCTCTCCGCTGCGAAACTGCGTGCATGCAGCTACTGCGCGCTAGCCGAAGGTGCGACGCGCGCCGGTAGGGGCCCCCACCCCTGCCGGCACACATGCATGCATGCATGCATGCATGCGTGTGGCAGCATGGAGAGTCCGCTGCAGCAGCTGCTGCAGTGCACCGACTCCGCCACTGCGGAGACTCCGCAAGGCGCAAACGTGACAGGCGCATGGCTGTTTCCTCCCCAGAAAGCCCCTTTTTCCGCCGCTGCTTCCTCAGGCACGCACGCTGCGGCAACAGCTGTCGGAGGCGCAAGCAGCGGCAGCAGGCAGGGGTGGGAGGCGCTAGAGGAGGGGCCCCCTGACGGGGAAATCGACGAATGGGGGGGCCCCCCCGGGGCTCCTCTGGACGGCATTTTCTCCTTCCTGACTCCCCCCCCCGATGCCTCGCAGCTGCTGCCGCTGGCCTCTCAAGAAAATCCCCCCGCGACTTCTCTCGCTTGCTGCAGCAAGACCAGCAGCAGTGCCTTCGGCAGGTGGGAGGAGAAGCAGGTCGAGCACTATGCGTTGCTGTGCGCCGTTGAGCGTGTGCTGCTGCTGCAGCGGCAGCGGCTGCAGCGGCTGCAGCAGCAGCAGCAGCAGCAGCTGCGCCGGCTGCTGTGGCAGCAGCAGCTCCAGCAGCAAGTTCGCGAGACCTCCTCCGCCAAGGCAGCCGCCAGACGGGCGGCTCCTGAAGGCGCTGCAAGGCTCACAGCTGCGTCTCTCGACGGCACGCTGTTAGTCAACTCGGAAGGACTGCCTCTCCCGAGCAACAGGGATGCCTTGCGGCTGTGGCAGCAGCAGCAGCAGCAGCAAGTGCGACACTGTTCAAGCGGAAAGCCACGCGTCGCTGCGGTGGGGCACTTGCTGAGACTGGAGGGGAGTCTCTCTCCTAAGGCAGAGATCTCTGGAGAGGCTCTTGGGGGAGACGGGGGAGGAGGAGGGAGCCTGCTCACGGCTGCGACGAAGACGCTTGCGCTGCCTGCTGCGTTGCTGGCTGAGCAGCTTCGCCTCAGAAAGGCTAAAAAAAAACGCAGGATCAAAGTGGAAGAACCACTCGGCAAAAAAAAAAACCAGGGGCCCCTCCTGCAAGCGGCGGGGGGGGCCCTCACGACTCCCGGTAGCAGCAACGAACGACTTGCACACCCACCCGATACAGTGCAAAAACTGACTTCAGAAGGATGCCATGCAGCGTCGAGGCGTCAGGCCTTGCTGCTCTCCCTATTCGAAGAAAAGGTTGGCTTGCATGCACGTGGTAGCGGTGCTCTTGTCGCAACAACTTCTGCTGCAAATAACTCCTTCTGCTGCAAATAACTCCTTCTGCTGCAAATAACTCCCTATGCTGCAAATAACTCCTTCTGCTGCAAATAACTCCTTCTGCTGCAAATAACTCCTTCTGCTGCAAATAACTCCTCCTGCTGCAAATAACTCCTTCTGCTGCAAATAACTCCTTCTGCTGCAAATAACTCCTTCTGCTGCAAATAACTCCTGCTGCAAATAACTCCTTCTGCTGCAAATAACTCCTTCTGCTGCAAATAACTCCTTCTGCTGCAAATAACTCCTTCTGCTGCAAATAACTCCTTCTGCTGCAAATAACTCCTTCTGCTGCAAATAA